AGTAGTCCCCTGTCTCCCACCTGTTGTCATTCCTAAGTGCTTTGACATCGAGACAGGCATCCTCTATTTCTGACCAGTCACCACACCGCCCCTTGTCACAGTGGCATGACAAAATAGGAGCCCTTTTCCAGCACACCTAGAGGAGGACAGCTAAAACCATGAGGCTAGGACCTGGCCTTCGGATAGTGTGTGCTTTCAGGAGCACAAAGTGCTGATGTCACAGGAAGAAGGAGGGAGGGACATGGTGAAAACATAAGGTCACCTGTTCAGCTAGCGGCATCTCTGTGCGTACAGAAGCTACCACGACAGAAGAACCTTTCTTGGTGGTGTCTCTCAGCAGGTTCCACATGTTCTTGCTTCTTGGGGGAGTTTTCTCTTCTAGGGCTTATTCTTGATACAGATTTTAAGTTTTGTTCAACAACATTGGAGGAAAGGAAGCACATCGAATGTTTTGGCTGCAGACATGATCCTACCTCAGGTTTCCTTTCTGGGGCCTAAGAAAGTGCAAAGTACAAACAGTCTCTGAATATTTGACTATGTGTACAAAAACCAAACCAAAACCAACAAAAAAACCTGATCCGCAGCACCCTCTTGTGGCCAGATGAAATGAAAGCACTGTGCACTTCAGTGGCTTTCAAATAGCAAGATCAATTAGATGTCATTCCTGGACGATTCTTTCTCTGTTTTCTAAAAATTAAAATTATTCATTACTCATTCATTCAGTCAATAACTCAAAAAACATTTATTGAACAACATTGTTGGGCTAGCCAGTATTCTAGAAATTAGAATTTTAGGATTGAAGAAAATAGACCAAATTCTGCCAAAATCACAGCTTGTGAGCAGACAAGCAATTGGATATACAAATATCAGATGCTGTTATGTGATATAGCCAAGTTAGGTAACTGGTGGGGGTGCCGAGAAGAAGTGTTCACTGACAAGTTAGCATTATAAGAAAGAACTGGATCAGGTGAAGGAACCGTCTAGATATCAAGGGGAGAGGTACCCAGAGAGATTCAGCAGGCACATAGCTGTGAGGGTCTTCTGAGGATTCCCTGCCCACACCTCATTAAGACAAGTCTATTTATGGGAATTCTGAGTTTCTTCTGGTTCCTTTCAGGACAAGACCCAGGCCTGAGACGTTCTATGCTGAAGCTTCAGCATTTGGGGCTCTGTGCTAGCTAGTTTTATGTCAGCTTGACACAAGCTGGAGTCATCAGCAAGAAATGAGCCATGACTGAAAAAATTCCCCACAAGATTGCCTGTAGGAAAGCCTGTAGGGCATTTTCTTAATTAGTAATTGATGTGGGATGGGAGGGCCCAGCCCATTGGGGTGATACCATACCTGGGCTGGTAGTCCTGAGTTCTATAAGAAAGCAGGCTAAGCAAGCCATGGGAAGGAAGCAAGTCAGTAAGCTGCACTCCTCCATAGCCTCTGCATCAGCTCCTGCCTCCAGGTTCCTGCCCTACTTGAGTTCCTGTCCTCACTGCTCTTGATGATGAACTGTTATATGGAAATGTCAGTGAAATAAACCCTTCCCTCCCCATGTTGCTCTTGGTCATGGAGTTTCATCACAGCAATTGTCTGTCCTGAGAAAGTTCTGAGTATGAGCTGCTCTGTCAATATTTAGTATATGCTTCCTGGCTTTTATTTAGATGTTGTTCAGATCATATTTTTTTGAACTCAAACAACCTTCCTTGGATCATTGCTTTTTCTGTAACATTCATGTATAAAAACACACTGAAACTGAAGTAAGTTTGTCTAAAGCATTAGACTATAGTCTGCCCCATAGTTTCAGGTCCTCAAATCTCAAATTTCACAGACAGATCTGCAAAGGTCTGCAAAAAGTCAGCAGGACCTCTTTTATAAGGGTGGGTAATACTGAATGAGAAACGATGCTCAGGATATGGGGGAGTCAGGTGAGGGCTGGCTCTACAGAAGAGCAAAGATTACTAGGTTATTTAAACATCCATTCCCAGCCTTCTTGGTGTAAAACAGGTATGCACGCCGGGCTGTGGTGGCGCACGCCTTTAATCCCAGCACTCAGGAGGCAGAGGCAGGCGGATTTCTGTGAGTTCGAGGCCAGCCTGGACTACCAAACCAAAAAAAAAACAGGTATGCACAACCAACCATTCTTCTGAAGAGGAAAGCTGTGTGCTTAACATTCCTGGCTTCTGTAATGCTTATCTGTGAGTGTGTGGCCCTCCACACTTGTTTCCATCCTGCCCCTTCCCACCTGACTCCCAGAGTTCTCCGCAGATTCTTAACTTGCTGGCTCCTTAGTTTGGATTACCCAGACTCTAGAAATCACTGTCTGCTGGTTGTAAACCACTAAGCCTGTGGTATAGCAGGGTTTTTCTTTGGGGTCACCAGCCAGTTCCCAAATCAAGACACGGAGACTTGTTAGTTTTGAATGCTCGGTCTTCTCTTATGCTTGTCCCACTAGCTCTTATAACTTAACCTGTTTCTCTTCATCTTTGTTTTGCCTTGGGGCTTTTTAAAAATCTTTCCTTTTTTCTGTATATCTTATTTTCACTGCTGCTTGTGTCTGCCTACCTGGCAGCTGGCTGGCTTCTGGTTCCGGGCATGTCCCCATCTTTTTCTTCTCATTCTTCGCAAGCCTAGAGTTATCCTCCTACTTATTCTCTCTCCCCACCAGCCCTGCCTATCTCTCTCATACCTAGCTAATTGGCAGATCAGCTCTTGATTAGACCAATCAGGTACCTTGGGCAGGCACAGTGAACCAGCAACATATCTTCTCATAATTAAATAGATAGAGCATAAATAAATGTAACACATCATTACATCATTAACAAAGGCAGCAGAAACAAATGTAACACACATTCACATAGTTAAAGTAATATTCCACAGCATAAACAAATGTAATACATCTTTGCCTAGTTAGAATAATATTCCACCACACTATGGTACTTTGCAGCAGCAAGCCAGGAGAACTTTGGATCCTTTAAGAATAATAGTCACTGGTTTGAGATTGCTTTAGAAACCTAAATGGTACATTTGCAGGTTAATTGGGAGAAATCTAAAGTGCATTTTGTTCCTTGGATTGTTCTTGGATGTGAATTCATGCCTCCTGTGGCAAACATTTACATTCAACTATAAGACATGTTTATTCTTTTTGGATGTCAGAGCATGGCTATAGAACCCAATCTGGCAAAGGCTATGCTGAGTGCTGTCAGTGTACCTGGATCTGGATTTGGCCTTCTGACTTGCTTTCATGCTTTCCCAGATATAATCTATAGTACGTGCCAGGCAATTTTATCTAAATTGGTCTGTCCTGAGAAAGTTCTGGAAAAGGGCTGCTCTGTCAATGCTTACTTAGTATGTGCTCACTTCTGTTAGTAGTGTGTGTGTGTGTGTGTGTGTGTGTGTGTGTGTGTGTGTGTGTGTGTAATGTTGAAGCAGAGGGCTTGAAATGGCTAAGCCAGATTGTTTTCAAGTCTCTGCCACCATGAAGGATCAGTGTGAAGCACAAAGAGACGAATGCACATGAGGCTGAGGAGCTTCATCTTAAATCGTATACCATTTGCTCAAAACTTGAAATAGGGATGCCTTGACATAGAAAACTAGAAAATATAAAAATCCCAGCATGACTCTAAAACCAAGGTTTTAAACTACATTCTCTCCAAACAGACAGCTTCACATCTGTGACCTGCTTTGACATAGAGACACACAGAGAGCCTTAAAATCCAACTTCTAGCTATTCGCCTTGGATTTTTCTCTCCAATCTTGAAAAGGTGACACAGGTCCTGTATGATCTGCTCATAAGTACAGAGGCGTGTCTCATCTGTACTTTTTCTTGTCCTTTACTCACTGACGTCAAAAGATTCATGAGACTGAGACGGCATTTCCAACCAGAGAGAAAGTGTTTGGCTTATAATTGAATTTTCAATGAAGCCATTATTCTCTGTGTGCTCCGATATTAATCCTAATTGAAGGGCTATTTTCTCAGGCTCCCTGGATGAGAACACCAGTTCTTGATGGTTCTGGGAAAAGTTCCTGTAACCCAGTCAGATTATTCCTCCTCCAATCCTTACTCCAAATACATATTCAGTGTCTAAGATGTTGTGTGATCTCTAATTACTAATCTATAGTTACTCGGAATCTGGTTGTTTTCTTCTGTTTATTTTCCTTTTTGCTAAAATTGATAGAAATTAAAAAAAATAAGCTTACAAAAAAATGTTTGCAAGTAGCTCCACACACCACACACCACACACATAAGCCAAACTGTAGCACCAATGCCCTCTTCAACTTAAAAATGTCATGAGTGCACCCCATCACCACCACCAAGTGACTTTATTCTGAATTAAGCAGGTGGCTCCATCTTGTTTGTGAAGGACTTGGGGCAGCTGGCTGAGAGTTCACCTACAAGGTTAGTAGAATGGTCAAACCCTCTAGGCCTCCAACATAAGGCTGCATCCTCCAGCTGTGTCTCCCTGCAGAGCCCAGGTTCTGAGAGCTGAAAGG